GTTACTGTTTAAATCAAGCTCAGTATTAGATCTTATTAAGACAAAGTTAGAAATATTTTCTTAAAACCAGATTACTTTACTAATGCAAAACATGCTTGACAAGATAATTTTTCTTTTCAGACAAAAAATAAGTCCCAGAAATAATTTTTTTAAATTTTTCCTTTATTCCAGTGTAGTCATCTTAGTTAATGTAAATGAATTTGTCAGTGTGAATTTAAGAAGTTGTCTGTGTTACAAAGGTCACTGCTAACTTTCACTCAAATATAACTAATTGGCATTACAAAGCTAGCCTAATAGAAAGTTCCCTTAGTGTGGTGAGCTGCCCACTTCTAATGGGACCCGGGAATAGTAATTTTGAAAGTTGAGTTATAGTGAGTTAAAAATGTCTTTGTTAAAACTGTAATGGCCTCATCCACCCATGAGGACAGTGACCATACAATACTCTGTGCTCTCCAGGTGGGCATCTTGGATGATGACGTCTTTGAGGAGGACGAGCACTTCTTTGTTCGTCTTCAGAAACTGAGGTTAGAAGAAGGTGGAAATGAAGGGACAGGAACTCCACCCAAGGGCAGATTAGTGGAGCCGCTGGTCGCCACCATCACTATCTTGGACGATGACCACGCCGGCATCTTCACCTTTGGCCAGCGAGTGATGCGGGTGAGTGAGAGCACAGGCACGCTGACGGTGACAGTGGTGAGGAACTCGGGCTCCAGGGGCACCGTTGCTGTGCCGTACCATACGGAGGATGGCAGTGCCAAGGCTGGGGTGGACTATGAGGAAACCAGGGGGGAACTGGAATTCACCAATGAACAGACCAGGTGAGGCACAGTCAGCAAACTAAGGCAGAGGCTAGGAAATAGGACTTTAGGAGCCACAGAGTCTGATGGCTGTATTTCCTTAGAACATCACTCTGTTAATTTCCAGAAAGGAGGTGCAGACGTTGTGACTCTTAAGGTTGCAACTTCCTACTATATACTATACATTAAAAGAAGGATTTTATATGATCAAGAACCTGCAAACAAATTCTTTTTAAAGGATAAGGTTGGCAATATTCTATATTTTTGTTATTGTCAACAATGTCCATGAAAAGACCAAAACCAACAATATGTTAGTTTGTCTCTCAGTACTTTGTTACTTCCTTACCCTGTAGTTGGCACATATCCCCAAGCCCCTAGTTCTTACAAAAGACAGAAATATTTTAAAACGAAGTAGAGACCGAAAAAAATCCCTCTCAATCATCACTTATGATCCACTAGAAGTGTGTGGTGGTGTCTGTATCTGCAGAGACCCTGCCCTCCGCCTGTATTTTCTTATTTGTATTATTTCGCTGGGCGTCGGCCCCTGGGCAGCGTGGAGGGTGTGAGGTCTGGACTCTAAAAAACTCTGGACTAAAAAAACATAGCCACTAGGTTACATCATTGTCTCTGTCTGTCTCCTCTGCTCTCTGTCTTTGTAATGGATGTATAAAAGCTGCTGGTCTGTGGGTTTGACCGAGCTACACAACACAAGCAAGACAGGTTGATGACAGTATATGCTTCGGCTGCACTCACAAAATCCGGCAATTTTGTTTAGGACTTTTTTTAACTTCAGATCCAGGAGCTCAAGGAAGAAACCCAGTGCAGCAGTGTCATTGATTGAGTTTAATAGTTTATGGACAATTGGTCCTACTAACAAATCATTGTTGGTGTTGGGTTTTTTACTGGGCTTTGATGGTAGTAAGAATAATATAGAATAGCACGGAACCTATCCTTTAACAAAGTTAAGATTTTCAACTTAAATTAAATTTTAAATGAAATTGTACTTGTAGTGTTGGAAGATAGATGGTGGCAAATCTTCAGAACAGGCATTCTTCAGCTTGTTCTCATTTAGCCAGCTTCCTCAGGGTTAAATAATAGACAAACCAGAATATGGTCTAAGTCTCTGAACTAGGCATCAGCAAAACTGCTGTATTCTTTTTTAAACCAGCTGCACTGACACGCAGCACCCTCAGTGCTTTTACTTTGGCCCATTAGTGCTTTTAGGAAAGGGGTACCTGAACCTCACTGAAAGATTACTATGGGTAACCAGTCACCCACTCCAGGCGGAGGAGGTTCTATTAGACAGAATTACCTGACGACTTGACACCCAAAGATAATCCCATCCCCGATCAGGTGTGGGAACCTCCAGTCACCCCATGTAAGCTGACAGATCTTTTTCCCATTAAATTTTCAGGTTATATAAGCTGTGTTTGCACATGGACTGATTGTACACTTAGTGAAAGACTGTAACAATAGATGCTGCACAGTAAAGGGTATAACAATTCATAGAATTCATAGATTATAGTTCATGGAGAAATATGTGGCTTTGTAGCCTTATTATTCCATTTGTTTCTGCTGGGACCATTATGCCATATTCATATGTATACTCTCTTTCCAAGTTGCCTGGAAGATGCCAAAGTATTCCACAGATGAACTTTACAGACATTGATAAACCAGGGTACTCTTGTGCTACAAGTAATTTAGTTTAGCTGTATTTCTTTGGCACACAGAGCACACAATGTTTAAGCCTGAATAATTGAACAGTCTATTGTGATTAATTATTTAGATCACTTCAATTTGCGATGTGATTTAGATGGTAGAGCAAATGTTTAAGATGTGTTTTTACGCACCTTATTGCTCATTGTATTTAATAGTACTTAATTCTTAGTTCTAGAAATAAAATAAATGTCTGTCTTTGTTTGTGCGTGCTTGCTTGCATATCTCCAGTCAGATCTTAAAAGTGCACATTATAAATGTGGAGGAGTACGAGAAGCAGGAAAACTTCTTCCTTGTGCTTGAGGACCCCAAATGGCTGAAGCGAGGACTCTCCGGTAGGTGTATGAGCATTAAAGTGCATGAAGTAATGCAGTATGAGATGACAGTTTACGCTAACATAAAATAATGCACTCCAAGTAGATGGCGGCGATATCCAAGATCAAGTATCAAAACAATAACAACAGGAACACAGGCAGTTGAATGCCCGGCACCTACGTCAGAGCCAGTAACGGAAGATTACACGCTGCCATTCTGTCTCTGTTCCACTGTAGCACAGGCACTGCTGCCAATTATGAACTTAGTATCCTTTAGAGGCCTGCTCAATATACCATTAATGTGTCAAACGGATGGTGGAGGAATTAGATAGTTGCTTGCTAGTGGAGGCCAAACGAGTCAATTACATTAGTTGTAATGTACAGTGGAAATGAGGGCTAACAGTGAGAGTGCACTGTGTATACTAAACTGCTGAACAAATTGTATAGTTCTTTTTTTTTCAGACACTCTAATGTATTAGATCCTACAAATGGAGTTGTTGTATTATATTAAATCCCTGTCTGTCTGTCTGTCTGTCTTCACAGCACTGCTGCTAAACCAGGGTAAGATGGTTTGGGTGTAGTTTTGGGTGTTAAAGGTGCAAGGTGCAGCATTTTTATATCCCAACATATTATTGTGAAATTGCAAATCTGCCCAGGTGGAAGTCTTATTCTCACACCCTTAGCAGTGAAGTTAGTGTGTTTTTCAAAATGAATTAGATTGCCTCCTGTAGCAACAATGATTCTAATACCTTTCTCCCTTGCATTGTGTGCAGATTTGTTTAAAAGTGGAGCATAAGCATGGATTCAGTCTTTCATTGCCAAACTCTCTGAAAGCTTTAGCTCCATTTATGCTACTTCTTGTTATGTGCTGTGGTAAAAACCAGTATATTATTATTTATTTCCTGGAAGACAGCAAATCTTTATTGGTTAATTGTGCTCGCTGATGGCAGGGCCTGTCACGTGAAAGCTGAGGGTAATGGTATCATATGAAACCATTGTCACCATGTCATGGCTAGCATGTTGGGAAGGGGGCTAAATAATGTTCCAAAGTTAATGTAAATTTTGCAGATAAAAAAACTGGCATGGCCATTTTCAAAGAGATCCCTTGACCTCTGACCTGATTTGAATGAAAATGGATTCTATGGGTACCCACAAGACTCCCTTTTGCAGAGATGTTATTTTTGTGTATTTGAATATTTCTGCAGTACTGGAATTGCATAAATTGGGAATGACTGGAAA